GCCTGGTCTAGTGGAAGGTGTCCCGGCCCATGGCAGGGGGTTGGAACTGGATGGTCTTTCAGGTCCCTTCCAACCCAAACCATTCCGTGATTCTAGATCCACTTCAGACTAGCCTAAGCAATCCCTAGTTAGCTCTTTACGTGGCTTGCATGGTGTCTCAAAAGGTGCTGTTTATATTGGCAAAGAAATCCTTAAAGTAATTTCAACAAGTGCCCCAAAAAGGTTATTTTGAGAAGGGAACTTTCTGTGTGGGTATCTGTGCTGGGCTTGGCACGTCCCTTACTGTTAAGGAAGGGGAAAAGCCATCCTGCAAGGCCAAGTGTGATGTGCACCAGCAAATCTTCAGTGTGGACCCAGCCCTGAGTGAAACTGAGGACTGGCTCTGTGTTTGTGCACTGGATAAATCTTGATTAAGCTTGAATTAGCACAGAAATTTTACATGTCAGATCATTCTTCTGTTTGCTTGTGAAGAAGAAACAACATCAGTATTTATTGGGGGGAAACTAGTTGGGGAATTTATTTAAAAATAGAACTTTCTCTTTAGAGCCTCACAAACATTTTCCACAGACTATTTTGATCTGTTGCAATTTCACTTCTGAATAGATCTCACTGGTAATTATTGATGATTCGAAGATTGTGCTTTTAAATTATGTTTTTTAGAAAAGTAAAGCCACAAGAGGTTAATAATTAGTCTCCTTCCTGATCTGAGGAGGAGTGTTCTGTGTAGGTCGTCACGTTTTATTTAATGAAATGATCTGTTTTAAAAACCACTGTGTACGAGCCCTAAAAATGACCACATTGAGCCATGATTCCTCTTCTTTAGAACATTTAAATGTGAACACGGTCTTGCTTTATTCTTTATGGCTATTAAATGGGGCTTTCCTCCCGGGGGCTGCTGTGTATCTTCAATTCCCATTGCCTTCTGGTTCTCAGCTTTAGTTTAGTTTTCAGTGTAGCTCAGCAGTGGATCTTCAGCCACGATGAACTGTGGTTTTTCTGCCTGGGAGCAAATACAGGAGTGATGCTGTTTGCAGATACACAGGTTATCTACCCACTTGTGCTTTCGGAACAAATGTAGCTGGGTTTTGCCAGTGGAGTGTTAGCGTAAGAGTAATCCGTTGGCATAAGCCTTTGCTGAGGCCTTACAAGTGAAAACATGCAGTTGAACAACACATCCTTGAGAGAAGTGGTTGTGTTTGAGAGCAGTGGGACAGTTTTTTGTCATTAGGAGCCTTAGCACCAGGGGAGTTGAGGTTGAGATCGTGAACTGCTTGCTTCTGCAATAATCCGTGAGGAGTAGCTGACTCCTTAAGTATCGGTGTTGTGTGAAAAGTTATTCCATGTCGTAACCTTCATGCTAATTTCCAATCCAATGGATTTTCCTGCACAGATGAAAATTGTAAAAAGAAGCTCAAAGATAAAAGTAAGGTTTCTGGTCTTTCCACAAGCATTTGCATTTCAGAAGTGCTTTCCAGAATAGCTTTCTGCATGTGTTTGCAAAACTGCTTTAACAAACATTGTCAGGTTGCATCATCTATAACCCTTAGTTACACTTACAGTGAAATTTGAGGGTAAGGGTGGGTGTTTCGCACTGGAAATAGAAAGTTTTGTGAAGAAAAGCTGATAGGCAGAGAAGGATTTGGTCTGCTGGGGACTCAGAAAACAGTAGCCCCTCAAAGAAATGCAGTCGCAACCCAGTAAACCAGATTTCAGTTGGCGTAACCAAGTGAAAATCACTGGGACTGGATCCGTTGCCGCTTTACCCCGATGTGTCTAGATGTCTTTCGTCTAGAACGCCAGGCAGGCAGTTTGTTTTCTTCTTGCATTTCATTAGGGATGAAAATGTTCTTCCCACTCTGTTTGGTTGTTGAGAAATTTTAGGAAGTAAAAAAACAAGGTAAAATATTTTTTTGCCTGGGAATTTGACCACCTGCCTGTGTCTGTAACACAATTTAAAGTTGCTTCGTTTACGCAAGGTAGATGCTTAACAGAAATGGTTTAATTCCATTCCTTTTTAATTTCTAGTCCAGAAGCCTCCAAAATCTAACCTTGTTAGAACACACGTTTCCATGTATTTATACTTCATTGTAAATAAGGATTATAGATGAAGCACAGAGCACTGTTGTCTGTATTAGGGACCTTTTCCAAGTCTGAACTACGGATACATTCTGGCATGACTGCTCATCACAGCAAATACTTGTGTCATTCCATTGTGCTGTCCTCATTCCTACATCCATACTGAATTAAGACTAAGCATCACTGCACAATGCTTTCTTCATCATACCCATTAATCCTATTGCTTTGTGTAGCGGGTTTTTGCGATGCCATTTGGGGCGATTGTGGACTGTTGTAATGAGGATGTGTTTCACTGCACTCCACACGTAGTATTTTGTATTTTGGACATTTTGTTTGGCGATTCTTTGAAAGGCAGAGATTGGGAAAGTCAAGCAGTAGCTTTACTCTTGGCTGTTCCATTTTCCTAAGGCTGGGGGGGTGTGAAAATTTCCTGAATTTCATTATTTCCTTGATAAAAACGTCAGAAAAAGGGTTTTGAAGAAAAAGGGTTTTCTTTATATATTTCTACCTAAAATAGAATTAAAGGGGCTTATGTTGTGTATTTTAATTTGCAAATTTGCTTTCAGATATTACTGAGTTGCTTCTAGTTTTTTTGGGCTTTTGTTATTGTCTTTCACTGTCTTGTTTAATTTGACTTAGACAACTGTGTTGTGTTTTTAGATATAGAGGTACAGAAAATGAAGAAGGCGGTAGAATCTCTAATGGCAGCAAATGAAGAGAAGGTAGCAAAGTCATTCTTTTTTTCAGTAATCATTTGTCAGTTTTAATTAGATCTCTAAGAAAATCTTCACGTATGAACTGCTATCAGTTCAATGAAAACATCTACTTTGTTGGAATTGAGGATTCCTGCATAGTCAGAAGCCCAGTTATATTGAGGGACTGTAGCTGAGCATCTCTGAGCCCTGTCGCATGTTCTCAGAGTCCTGACACTGTCGTGTCCTTCAGTTCAGTGCAACTGCGATGTACGTGTTGTTGAAATACAGAGAGCTCCATACAAGTCCCGTGGGATATCACAGGCTGTTTCCAAAAGGGCTTTCTGTAACGTGCCCATTGTTTTACTCTGTGCTTTTGCGCATTCATATGCCTGTGCATTTTGTACGGCGTTGTCTTTTGATCACCGCAGCCCCAAATCCTTTGATTACTGCTTTCTTTGGACGTGGCAAATTCATTATACTCTACCTTTGACTTAACAAGCGAACTGAAATCCGCTTTCAAGGCTGGGACAATCCTGGTGATTACCAGATGATAGTTTTTGTTTAAGTTTTGATATTTCAGAGCCTCTCAGAGTTCTGGGTCCTGTCCCGTCCACGCTTCCCATTTCTTTTAGTCTCGCAACCAATTACACTGAGGAGTGTCCAGTATTTGCATTTCTTACTTTTGATTTGCTGAAGGAAGCAGCACAGTCACCACTTGGTTTTATTTTTTTTTTTCGGAAGATAGAAGAGCTTCGGCAATCTCTGAATAGGTACAAGAAAGTTCAAGACATGGTGATACTGGCTCAAGGTAAAAAAGGTATTGTACAAGCAAAAACCAAATTAACCTTTACTCTCATTTAAACTCTAGGTGCATTATGGTAGTGTGATATTGACTTTTAGACTGATTATCTTAGGAGGCATCTCTTAGGTAGAGTAAAAGGCAGTTCTTCAACTAGTGTGAATTGGCAAATTGTCGTCTTTGCCCAGGCGGTTGCCCATTTGAGCGCTGTCCCATTTACCATCTGGTAGTAGTAACTACGAATGTCACGTTGCTTATTTCCCCCTTGTAAAATAAGTTTGAATATGATAAGCTCTCAGGCTCTTCCCATACCCTCCTGAAATGCTTTTCAGGGCTGGCTATCAGATTAACAGCTATCAGATAATGAGCTTAATTGTGTGGCTGAAATGGTAGCTGTAATATGGACTGTAACATGTAATGGTCTGTTCCATATGGTCCAAGACCGGTGGAGGTTTCCAGATCCAGGAGGTTTCCAGGATCCACCCCCACATAAATGTTGAGGGTGATGGTCATCAGTTTGGTGTAATTGAAGTGAATACCCCGTCTGTCTCCTTCCTTGCTTAGAAGAAAAGCAAAAGAAACACACGTGGAGCATTACACTGAAGTGGTTCTGGGTTTTCAGATGAAAACACTTAAAAAATGAGCATTTCCTTTTACAGCAGTAATCCTGGCCTATTTGCAATACAGCCCTAGGGTGGTTTTTTTTCCCCTGCATCGTCCTGTGCTTTCAGCGCTCAAGCTGCGTTTTGTAGGTTGCTGTCCTCTGAAAGACCTGTCCCCAGCAAATCTTAGACAATTGCATTCTGGTAACGCGTGCCCGTATAATGCACGCCCGACTTAAAGGTCTGCCACGCTGCTGCATTACCTTGTTGGGGAAACCTCCTCTGTCAGCGCATCCTCTGAAGGCCGGAGAAGGCCAGCCCAGCCTTCCACAGGCCTTGAATTGACCTGTGCTGGTTGCCTGGGCTGCTTTAGTACAGACAAGGGCTTTTGTTATCCATGCAAGTGTTGGAGGTGGATGGCCTTCCTAGGAGAGGGTGCTCCCAGGGAGCCTTTTGAAGAGTGAAGATTGTCAGTAGTCAGAAATCAGTGGGGAGGAAAAATACATATTTTGGTGGTGGTGGATTCATATTTGGACTCTGGGGTCTGCTGTCCTGAGCCAAGGCAGGAAAAGCCAAGGGCAGAGCCCCATCTGGACATGAGACAGGAAAGGAGAGGTTCCTGGTGCCACTCTCGGCTTGTGTCTGGATTTTGAGAGGCCATCCCGGTGTGGAGGCAGTGACTGCAGCAAGCAGATCCTGACCTCCGCTCCTGAGGATGCCAGCTGATTGCCAGGGCCAAGTGAAAGCCCTCGGCCATGGTCTCCAACTGCCTGGCCTGCTCCCCTGTGAGCCCTGCAGCCCTCAGGTGGGCACAGTGCGGGGTTCGGGAAGCATCTTCTCTTAGTTTGGTGTCACCAATGTAAACCAGATGGGAGCTGACGTGTGCCAGAGCATGTTGGGCTAAAAACTGGCTTGGCTTAACCACAGGGAAGTGCTTTTGCCACCACCCTGTTAATAGGTGGCTCCCTCTCCCCTCGTCCTAAGGGAGTTGAGATACGTGGGCTTGGGGTCTCGATGTGTGAGGGCTTTTCCCTTCTGGAAACGAGCACTCAGGGTCACTAAGGACCTGTCTCCGATCTGCCGAGGCTGGGAAAGCACATTGTCGGTGAGGGAGAGGTAAGGTGGTGATGAGGGCAGAGCACCATGCAGGGCGACGGAGGAGTAGCATTCTGTTAAGCAGATACTGCTCTTTTGTGCAGTGCTCTGCCTTGACAGGAGGATGTTAAAACAGACCTTGAGTCTCTGGGAACGGTGGTTCACAGTCGGTCCATGACGCATGGATTTCAGGCAGTGAGAAATGGGCAAGAGAGGCTTTTGCTGTAAACAGATTTTGGCTTGTATTTGTATCAGATTTTGGGAATGAGTGCTAGGTTTCTGCTTACTTCTAAGAAAGTATTGGTTGCCTTTAACTTTTTCTTGTCAGGGTCAATACTCTGGCATCGATGACAAGTGTGGAGATCCAGGCCTTTTGGTCGTACTGAAGCAGTTCAGGAGCAGCGAGCTGGCGGTTGGGAGCAGAGGATGCCAGATGCCGGTGCGGGCCACGGCATTAAGTCGCTGAGGCAGGCGCCATTTGTGGCAGTCTGCAAACATAACGTGTCACGGAAAAGCTCTTGTGCAGCTTCTGTCTGCGTTTGTCCAGTGGGTAACTCAGAGGTACCGTAGGAACATCTTGAGTTTCAGGCAGACTTGACCTTTCTTTCCCTAGTGAATAAGAAGTATTTAGGATGAAATTCCAGAACATGGGACAGGAAATAACTGCTCCAGTTTATTCTGCTTTTCGAAACTGATCCCGCTAAATGCCCTGCGGATATTTGCTGGGCTTTTTGCTGTCAGATGTGCGTCGCCCCTCTGCTCCAACCCTGCTGTGTTGTGGTGGTTGAATTGGCAAGCGACATTTGGCAGTGACTCCCCTTCTCCTGTTGTAGTCTCTCCTGAAAAAAAAACTCCTAGCCTCTTCCCTTTTTGGCCCATGAACGAGCGCGCTGGCTGTGCCTTGTGTTGGGAATGAGGGTCATCACGTGTCAGAAGTAACGCCAACAGATTTCCATCTTCTCTCCCTTCAGGCAAGGAGGGTGACGGTGAAGACTTCTTGAATTCAGGGTCTGTTTCCACGGTTTTATTGGACACACCAAGTCTGACTGACGCAGAGAAAAGCCCATCCCCAACCCCCGTAACAGCATCCCCAATCCACGATGAGTTTAACATGAATATTCATGATGAGGTATCTTTTTTTACTTCCTCATTTTTCTGTGTTGCACAGCTTTTAGAACTGTCCCATATCCTTTTGGAGAATGTGGTTTTCTTGTCAAAGCTGCTGCGGAGTTTCCATCTGAGTTTAGTTAAATTTATTTTTCTTAGTTGTCACATGGGATTAAGAGACAGTTAATAGCTGTGTTTGTCATGAGAATGGGTGTAAGCTACTTATCCTATCAAACACAGACATTATTTTTCATATCAGACATAAGTGGTTTGGGAGCTGCATTTAATTTGTCAGGAACTTGAAGTAAACATGTTGGGATTTATTTAATATATGCTGCCATATTTAAAAGGATGCAGGCATCATTACAGCCGTTCAATTAAATGAGTAGGTTGTGGTCCAGTCTCTCTTTTTCACAATGACCTTTTCCAGTAATAAATCTATAGATCCAATCTCTTAAAGCTCTGAGTCATAGAAGGGACTTGACTTACTTAACTAAACAGCATGAACACACCGTGAAGAAAACTAAATCAAATGACATGTTTAGCAGTTTTTTGGTATTCCCTGAGTGGCTGAGGGGTAAACCGGAAAAGTGAACTACCCTTCATCGTAGGGGTCTGTAGTAAAGATAGATTTAGCAGGCAGCTTTGGGAGACTTGTGAGATTTTTGTCTATACTGTAGCGTAGCTGTGCAGTGATTCATGTTTTATCTTCAGTGCCATCTTTCAAATAGCAAATCGTTGTATTAAAATAGAACGAAATTGAAAAATCACTTTTAAAAATCTTATTTCAGATCCTTCTTTTCATAGTTTATCTGTTACTCTTTTTTACATTTGACTGCTTAATTTCAGCTGAAAATAGACTAATACTTATTCTTCATTCTTTCTAGAATTCCTTACAGATCCACACCAGTATTTTACAGATTTCAATCCCTTCTTTTTCATCAACATCCAAGAGCCCAGAAACTGTTGCGGAGAAAGTGAAAACACAGCCTAGGCCAGATCTTGCCAGTGAAATGAGGTATGATTGTTTCCATGTATCTCTTCTGTTGTAAATCCAATATTCTGTGACGTTTAACGAGAGTAACAATCTGTCGGTTACTGCATTGTCAAGTCATTAAGGCAGTTAAACAAGGCTCGCGTTCACTTCACTGGCTGTATCAAACTGAGCTTATGTTCACGGAGTGCAGTGATTTTTCTGTAAGCAAGTAGTAGTTGGTTGCTGTTGCTTGTAGCAGCACTCATACTCCACACCAGCTGCTTCGTAAGAAATGAGCAGAAGGAGAGAAAATCTGATCTAATGTAATGAAGGACACAGAATCATTATTTTTATCTAGGTTTACATCATCTACATCTGGCGGGGATAGTGCTGGCTGTGCTAGCACAAATGTGTTCCTGATGGTTTGCGTTCAGACATTTTCCACAGTTGCTAAAGATTGGTGACAGCTACTGCCAAAACTCCAACAAAAGGACTGTCCAGCTCTAATTTTGAGCAGTTAATGGAGCCCCAGAAGGAAACCCAAGTGGTGTTTCAAAAGATCAGAGAAAGAAGTATTCTTGCTGCCGTGAAATGTGGAGATATTTATTTGCTCACTCTTCCGAGATCCCTGCCTGATATTTTGAAAGACACACAAAATATGTAGGCACAGTGACCCAGGGATGCTTAGAATCTTAGAACCGTTTGGGTTGGAAGGTCATCTAGTTCCAAACCCCCCTGCCATGGGCAGGAACACCTTCTCAGGTGTCCCAGGTTGCTCCAAGCCTCATCCAGCCTGGCCTTGAACACTTCCAGGGATGGGGCATCCACAGCTTCTCTGGGCAACCTGTTTCAGCTCTCTCAGCCTGTCTTCACAGGAGAGGTGCTCCAGTCCTCTGATCTCTGTTGAGGGTCCCTCCCATGTCTTCCTCTGTTGGGTGGTCCCACAGCTGGATGCAGAACTC